CAGACGGGCCGGAAACGACAGCAGTGGGCGGAGGCGTCGGGGTTGGTATTTGGAGTCGTTGAAGCTGCATCAGAGGCAGCTTTTTATTCGACGTCCCTTTGAAGTTGGGTCGGCTAGGCAGGGAATCAAAGTCGAACGGGGCCATAGCTTGGTGTCGCTGTGGTAAGCTAAAAGAGCGTTCCAGGTCATCCTCGTCATCCGATATGGGGTCGAACGGACGGATGAAACCTGCCGTAGCATTCGCTGCAAGCGCGGCTGCGTTTTGTCCTTTGGTGTTTTGCTTTTCTGGGAACTGGTAGTCAGAATCTGGGACGTACATTGCCGGCGCGTCAACTTCGTCCACGTCGTAATACGATGGTGAGATGTGGATATGATCGTCCGAGGAGGTTGTGTGTAAGCTTTCCTCGCTCACGCGCACAGAAGAGATGGACGGTGCACGGCGGGGTATATGGTATCCCGTATAGAAATTAGGGACCATCGCTCGTTTTGGCTGCTGAATTGGTAATATTGAGTTAGGTGTGGATAAAGGCCGCGCGTTTGATGTCCAACGCCTGTAAGGGGGTAGTGGTTTAGGTTTTGAAATGGGAGGACGGGAAAGCTCGAATTTGCGAAGTTGCCTGAGATCTCCGAAAACGTAGACGCCGAGACAGATTCCATTGACTGAGGAATAAAATATGCTAAGGCCAGCCCATAGTCCCGGGAGGGCGATTAGGCGCCACCATCGTGACTCAGCACGAAGACAAGTCAGGACAAGGGGAAGGATGCCGAGAACGAGAGCAAAGATAATCCCCGCAATCATGCCGCACAGCACGCGTTTGTTACCAACATTATTGAATTGCGCGTTCACGAAACGGCGTAGACTTTGCTCAAGTGTACGGAAAGTTTCCAACTCGACCTCTGCAAACAAGATAGGATCAGGGTGAGGTGACATGTTGGGCTTGTGGAATGGGGCCAGTAAACTTGACGTAAGGTTAAGCTCGTATTCTGAGCCAGGAGTGAAGAATGTCTGCTTGGCACGGGCATAGAACATGGCCAGATGAGAAGAGTGCTGCGAAGACCAATGAATGGGATAATCCGAGGGTTCATTTCTGCTTTGAAACTCGGCTTGAGATTTCCATTGACTGTATCGTTGCTTGTACTCCCTAAGCCAAAGAATGAAGTATCTGAAGAGATGAAAACGGTGTTAGCCGGGAGGAGGAGAAAGATGGGCTTTAATGAATTACAAGTTTTCCGGGCTCATCTCGACGAAGAGCAGCCATTCCTGTCGATCTGGTCAATACAGTGGACGCGTGCCGCCTTGAAATTTATTTACCTCAAAATCCTTGAGACCTGAAATATCGATCTCAGTCAGTAAAAGGGTATTGCAAACAGAGGAATAGATGCAGCTCACCCAATGGCGGCAAATGCTTTCGATCCAGAACGTCTTCTAGACGAACCTTGAAGAGGGGTGTAACTTGATATGAAAATGAGAACGACGACCGGGACCTGGACGCAATTAAAACTGACCTCCGCATGATCTGACCTTGGCGACCGCAGGGGGCGGGTTACAGATACGAAACTAGATGGTATGAGTGAGCAATTGGAGACATGCATGGTGAAGTATACGCACCGGTAATGAAAGGACAGACTTGATGGATACCTTGTACGTTCTTGGCTGTGTCTGGACGACGCTCTGGGAGGGAGAGGACATGGAGTTGGGAGGAGGGTGGCCAAAAGCGCATGGGGGAAGTGGGGGTGGCCAAATAAGTAGCCTGGAGGATTGCGATAGAGTAAATTTGGCAGGCGAATCCTTCCTTCGTTTCTGACGCCGAACCGAACTAGGCCTGTTTGCCTCCCCCCTGACATTCGAACCCTTTACCTAATCCCTTAAAATACTCCTTCTCTCTTCATCCATCCTTGATCCATCTACAAGGGATGAACTACAACTTGGTCGCTGAAAGAGAGCCCAGGCCATCAAGCGCGTTCATTAATTTCGTACTCATCCAACTCAAGTAAGGCTCTGTCCCCATTTGTCTGACAGGATGATCAGGCTTCTTCAACTGCTCACCCTACGTGCTGAACCTCCTCGGATATCTCTTGGCTTCAGGCCTTTTTCGGACCTCTACGGGTTTTTTGGGGGTCGAAATCCAGCTCACCGCTCTCCTGTTCAAGACACGTCGGACTCAGAATTATCTTCCACGAAAGAAGATTTTAAGCATGCATCCCTTCTCTTGGGTTGAAATTCGTCCTTGGCGACGAGTGTCGGCCGTCATCCGTCGTCCAACACTGACAGTCCTTCCAATGTGCTCTGGTTTAATTGGCTCGAATCGATTCCTCCGGACTCCAATTGACTCCGCAACCGCATTTCTGTCTTGGATTGAAAGGTTCTTTGAGTCGCAGAGTAACACTAGATTTCTCAAGACTCGCGAGCCTCGTTTTCTTCCCATCAGCCGCCTCCATTGACCCTGTCTTTCTTGTCACCTCACGTTCATGCCGCCGATGTCTAAAAAGATCAATCACGCGAGTGGTCGCCTTCGATTCCGTCACTTAGACAATATTTCTTTGATTGATTCGTAGCAAACTATCGAAAAGTTATTGGTTGCAGCGGTTGGAAGTCAACTATTTCCTGCTACAAAGTGAGGAAAACATATCAGAACGCCGATTGGCGACCCAAAAAGATCTATCCCACGAGCGACCCATTCAAGATTTTAACCACTTTCCACAGCATAAGACATCCGCCTGGGAGTATATATCGTCTGGCCTCGGACGAAGGTCTCAAGTCTCGATTCTTTACCTCTCGAATTTTTCTCGCATGAAATACAAAGAACAGACAGACGGGACGTACCGCATTCCGACAGCAAGATTGGAAGACGCGTTCAGCTAACTTTAGGCGTTCCACTCATGGCTTACGAATCTTAGTGAGCTGCCTCCAGATTGACTGCGCGCAAGAAATCAAAAGAATGGGACCGGTTCATTCTTTTCTTAGCACTCTTTCTTTCCTCCATCTCACGGATATGCTTACAATATTGGTATATTCTCAGATGTTCTTTGTGTTCCTTCCGTCTCATTCGTCAACCGCCTGCCTTACGGCTGTTGGGACCCATAACTCCATCTCCCTGAGGACTCGAGGCGTAACTCGTCTCCGATCACCACCCTTACTAGGCGAGACAATCACAACATGATGCCCACTTTTTTGGATTACGATGGACTATTGACGTGATCTGCTTGCGCATAGACGTGGGTACTGGCAGTACTGGGAATGGTATTCCCGCCTGTCAAGTCCTGTTTAACGAAAAGGCAAGCTCTTTCCCTTGGATAACATTTCAAACTGACATTGACATTAGGTATTGAAGCATTTCAAGGCGCCCTGCAGCTTTTTGGCAGAATCTTATTTTCACAGAAGAATAAGTGTTGCTATTTTGAAAGACGGAATATCTTACGGACAGGTAACCGTGCGGTTATAGAAAGGGAAGTGTTCAATGTCAAGAATAAACGCGCACTGACGTTCAAAAAGAGGTCCGCATGTTAGTCATCTGAGTCCTCGAGGATTAAAGATCGTTGAATTGCTCCCACAGAACGTTAACGCGGTCCCAAAACTGTATCATTTTCCCTTCAAACGCAAAATTATAATCCCAACCCTTGACCCTCCGTTGATAACCTTACCTCGGTCATGGCTCGGAGACTGCCTTCAATCCTAAATGTACTCATATCTCAACGAAAATGACCTCACGCAGTAGTCATTCGTTTGATATGAAGTATGAATTTAGAAAGCGGGTCCTCTTTGAGCCTTAGTAATTTCGCTTGTTCGCTTTACAAACTCAGCTGAGCCTGAGGGTGACGAAACCTGGCAGATTTGGATTGATCCATTCACACCATGACCGATTTTCTGACAATCTGCCGTTTTGATTTGATAGACAAGAAAATCAGGTTGAAAGATGCAAGTAGAACTCTTTCTTTCTTGTTCGCCTCGCACGCACATACACGAGGTGAGCTGGGCTCTGAAGGGCGTATGGCTTGAGAGGGGAATGGTGCACTAACAACCGAATTTTTGAGGCCTTCGTCAAAGCGCCCTCCACGTTTTCAATGTGCGCTGGGCTAGAATCCCTTGTGTGGCGCACGATCATGATCGAGCCCCCACTGAGATCTCGATCACCCAGTGTCGTCATCGACCTCCGTTTTCAGTGCTCGCTGCCCCATTTCGCGTGAGCTTCTGACGGTGGTGATGGCAGCATATGCCAGACTAGTAATCTTTACACTAAAAGACAAGGGCAGTACCTTACCGAACTGGGAATTTCGCGGAATTGTACCAAATAGCTGGACGTAATTACTAGGAATAACTTTTAGGCTTCACCGGAATGCCTGTACATGATCGATATTTTTATCAGGTTTAAATATTATAAATATTTACACTAGTCCAATGAAGTACATCAATGGGCTGCAGGTGATGCGGGTACATGTTCAGTACGTGCCTCAGCGCATGTACGCATCTCCCTCAAGTTCAAGACTGTTTGACCCTCGGCGGTCACTTGGTCTCAGCTTGAGACGGTGTAAGAACATATCATCATTTATCCTAGTCTCAGCACTTAGACAATTCACCCGCATTACCTTGCTCTCCTGATTTTCATTAAATCACTTTTCTCATAGCTGTACCTTTCAACTCTTTCCGTGTAGTAACAAATAAAAATTTTAGGGGTGCTTATTCAGTTTATTCACCTTGTGCCCTGTGCTCTATTCAAATTGGAACCGCGTGAAAATCCTAATGCCCAGGTATTCATTGGTTAGGATGTATAACTGCAGATCGACTGATGCCCTCAATCCTGGACCGTAAGAGCGCTACACGGACAGGCGGATGGGATTGAAGCCCATGATGCGGTCACTAAGGTCCCGTAGATCCTGTCGTTTTCTTCCCAAAAAAATTGTACTCTCGGTCGAAGGGTGCATGCACTCTGGCATATTGCAACTATGGGACAAAACAAACTTCAAAGCAGAGTATTATCGACGGTAATGGGCGCCTATTCATGGGGCACATGGTGTAGTTGGTTATCACGCCTGCTTAGCAATCCGCTTATATGACTATAACTGAAATTCGGTCACGTGTGCAGGAGGTGTTGGGTTCAATTCCCAATGTGTCCATTTCTTTCCTACGACGTTTTGCGTTCTAGCGATTGATCATAGCAAAACTTCATTTTGGAACCAATTTTATGTAGTAACTTTAAGCATCCCTTACTCCAGGTCCTAGAAGCATCGCTCTCGGCTTCGCTCCCTGATTACTAAATGGTACGCGGGATATCTCCGTGATGAAGGTGATCCCAAAAAAACAGCCGCTCGCTCCACTGCAACATTTGTGCACGGGCTTCTCGGGCATGCCTTTTTTTGGTTGCCCCATAATAAATTTTAATGCCTCATAGATAATCACGATCAGCGCGATAAGATAACTTATATCCAAGCAGATTCTTGCTGAAGACACCATACGTTAGCGAAGATGTCAAAGAACAGACATAGTATCCTCTACACAGACTACACTCATGGACAGAATCCTTCGAGCCTTCGAACTGAACAACTGCTCATTGACAGATTTTTACAAAGATCTCTTGACTTCGCCGAATTATCAGAACCATCCACTTGCCTCTCAACTCGAGGCGACAACAGAAGATTTGTTGAGTGTTCTGATTTCATCCTATCCTACCAGTCCAAGTGCGAGAAAATGGGCCTTATCTCTCGCTGAAAATATCTACATTTCTCAAATGGGACTGCTCTCGCACAAATCTGGCGGCTTTCATTTCAATGCAAACGCGTCACGGTCACCTGAGCCTTTGTTTAACACTGATCATGACTATTTATGAGGCATTAAGATTTATTATGGGGCAACCGAAAAAGGCATGCCCGAGAAGTCCGTGCACAAATGTTGCAGCCGCTCGCTCCACTGTTTTTTTGGGATCACCTAGGATCACTTCATCACGGAGATATCCAATCAGGGAGCGAAGCCGAGAGCGATGCTACTAAGACTAGGAGCCTGCCCAGGCTGCCCTTACTCTATATACATGACAGCAAATCATATCTGAGTATTAACAGCAATTTGATTCTACCTTGCCGTAGGGGTTGATTCCCTTACGCCACTTTTTTGGTCATTCCTCTGCCATGTCTTCAATAAATTCCGACACCCATAGCTCCTCCAAAGGTGCTGATAAGTATCGCCCATATCACGATGGCAAAGGGCTCTTCATCCGTGGTAGTGATCCCCTCAGAAACAGGTGGATTGCTTCGGAGTAGCAAGGGGCGTGCGAGTTGCGCAACTATGAGTGCAATTTCGCCACGGGCAACCATAGCAATGCCGAGCAGAAGAGCACCGCGAGAGTGAGTCAGTTCCTTTGTAGGAGATGAAACGGTTAAACTGGATCCCACTTTTTCGGTTTGCGCATGTCCCCGGCACAGTGAATCCAGCTCCACAGCATTTGGTGGCCCTGAAAAAGATTCAATATCAAGAGTTGGATTCGTGGGGTGCGATGGGCGCTAGAAATTTTAAATCTTTCTCCGCAAGTGTTATGCACGGAGCAGATGCCATTGGGTTTGGTAATATCAGAACTCGGCGGTGAGGTGTCTCTGGCCACTCTGCCTCTTGAGCTACCCTTGCTATACATCAGGGTCTTCACCGCATCAGCGCAGCCCCGCAAATGCCTTCTGAAAAATCTAGATATGGATCCCGACCCGGGCCACACTAGGAACCACAAGCCAACAGCCATCTTTCCTAGAACCATTAATAATGCATATACCATGCCACGCCAGACAACCCTGTGGGATGGAAGTCTCTTACCATCATAATTAGTCGTGGAGCTAGGGTAGGTGGTGACTAGTGATTTGACAGGTATGGAGGTGCCGATCGAGGAGAAGAAGATAGGCTCCAATAAAGGAACAAGAATCGGTTGAAGGTACACATCAAATGCTCTCAAGGTTGGAGTTGAGAGCACTAGAGCAGAATTAGCATCTTCGGGATGCGGCTCATCAAAAAGATATGAGAGGAATGCCCCTGCGAGATAAGCGCCAAAGAGGTCACTTGTGCCGGCATACCTAGATCCAGCGACGAAAGCTGAAAGGATAAGAACAACTATAAAGAGTTGGACTCGGCTGCTGTGCAACATGTAATTACTAGAAGCTGGTGCGTTGCTCCTCTGTTTCTTCGGCCACTTTACTCGGAGCTTTTTCAACACCAACGCCAGCATTGGAGTGCCAAAACCAAATGCAAACGATACGAGTAAAGGCCTCACAACTTCCTCCCCTTTCACTCCAGAGTCTGCACCGGCGAGCCCAGAAATTATTCCCGCGATAACTAGGCCCACTACGTCATCTAGCAAGGCAGCGGCCATCAAGACACTACCCACTCTTGTCTTCCGTAACTCGGGAGTTAAAAGAGCAATTGTGGTGCCAAGCGATGTGGAACATAAGGCTGCACCTGCTGCAAAGGCTTGTAAACCTCCATAACCCCATGCACCTTTGAACGTGGCCATGCTGAGTGCTAACGGGAGCATAATTCCAGTTAATGCCACCATGGTGCTCAGTCCCGCATTTTCAATGAGGAGAGGGATGTGAGTGGTCAGTCCGGCTTCAAATACGATGAGGACAAGACCTATGTAGCCAAGAGTAATGAGGGTTTCTTGAATCGCAGGTGTAAGCAGACCCCCAAGTTCTGGGCCTAGTAAAATAGCTGTGATAAGAGGGCCGAGCAGAGGTGCATTGTAATAGAACCAGCTACGGATGAGGTGCAAGATAGAAGGTAGAGGTAACTTGCAAGAGAAAGAAGATTAGGAATATCTGGTTGGGTATATGGCACTTGAATATGTGAAGGAAGAGATGATGATACTGAATTTTCCATGGATTATGTAGTCGGAGAATGACAAGCGTTTCATCTGGGATGTCATGGAGCCTTTGGAAGCGGAGGAAAGAGAGGTTCGACTCTCTTCGTTAAGCGATCACGTGAAGAGCATCATACCTTGATCGGGAATGAGTCCGACTGCCGTCACTGGCAGTCGCTGCGGCGCGCTTGTTTACCCCAATCACCATTCCTTAGCTCAGTTTGAATCTTCCTGCACACTAGTTTTCATAAATTGCTCTTCGGTTATGGATGTTGTAAAGGCGGTCGAGACTTACATCAACAAAATGGTGTCGACACCGTCTACGATGAAGGTGTTACTACTGGACACACATACCGTATGTGATTATAATTCGCACTTCAGAGCTCTGCTTACAGCCCTTGTTTTGAATTCTAAAGACGCCTATAGTATCATTGGCAACGACACAGTCTACATTGTTATTCCATCAAGTCTACCTGACGGACCGAATAGACAACAAGAAGAGGGACCGCATGCCGCACATGAAATGCATTTGTTTTCTACAAAACAGTGAAGATAGCCTGGCGGCCCTCGCAGAGGAGCTGAAAGAGCCTAAGTATGGGAATACTACCTGTGTCAGTCGGTGAATCTGTTGGTTGTGCATCGTTTCTTCGACGTCATACTAATGCGAAATTTCTAGACTTCAGCAACATCCTGACTAAAACTGCCATTGAACGATTAGCACAAGTAGACGAATTTGAGGTAGTTCGTGAGGTTCAGGTACTATCACATCCTTTCCCATTTTACGTTAATGGCTGGATGCTCAACCTCATATGCTGTGTAGGAATATTTTGCCGATTATGCAGCAATAACGCCAAGCTTATTCTCTTTGAACCACACACCCTCGACATCGAGACCGCTATATGGCTCTAACGTTCACACATGGGATTCTGCGGCTTTGGACTTGGCGATGCAAGGCATAACAGCCGTTTTGCTGAGTCTGAGAAAGAAGCCTGTTATTCGTTACGAAAAAATGAGTCCAATGGCCAAGAAGCTTGGACTAGAGGTTCAAGTAAGTGCTCTTCATATCCATCTTCTGTGCTCTGTATAGGGAACTCCAATTTTCTAGCATCGAATCCAATCGGAAGCGGCTCTATTCGATTTCCGCCTAACTCAAGTTCCCCCGCTATTACTTATTCTCGACCGACGCAATGACCCAGTGACCCCTCTTTTATCTCAGTGGACGTATCAAGCTATGGTGCATGAACTACTTGGCATCCACAATGGACGGGTGGATTTGAGCAAAGTCCCTGATAATCGCCCGGAATTGTCTGTATGTTTATTTGTTCTTTTTCTAGTGGGAGCCAATTGACATCCCCTCTCCAGGAAATAACACTGACCACGAATACAGACCCTTTCTTTCAATCCAATTATTTAGCAACATTCGGAGACCTGGGTTCATCCTTGAAGGACTACGTACAGGAGTATCAAGCAAAGTCTCAATCCCCTTCCTCCATTAACTCTATTGCCGACATGAAGCGGTTTGTAGAAGAATATCCCGAGTTTCGGAAACTAGGCGGAAATGTCAGCAAACATGTCGCCTTAGTTGGGGAACTGAGCAGGCTGGTGGGTAGAGATAAGTTGCTCGAAGTTGGAGAAATGGAGCAAGGATTAGCGACGAGTTCGGGCGCTGAGATCAAGGTAACCCCATGGCATCTCCTCACATCACTTGCTAGGCTCATACGTGACTACTATTCAGAGTGTTCAAGGCATCATCACTGATGCCGGGGTTCCACCATGGAGTAAACTTCGAATTGTTATGCTCTATGCACTGCGATACCAAAAGACACAGACGGCCAATATCGCATCCTTGATTAATCTCATGCTCGCAAATGGTATCTCTAGAGAAGATGCGAAGGCATGTATCCCTGAGATTCGACTACCGCCCTCGCTAATGCCTGAATAGCTGGTATATATTCTGCTAAATATTGCAGGCGCGGATCAACGGCAGGACGACCTCTTCTCAACAGAATCTTTGCTAGCTAAAGGACGTTCTGCTCTGAAAGGTCTCAAGGTCGGTATTCTGATAAAACTACAATTTTGCGAGTTGTTGAAGGACATTGCAGGGTGTGGAAAATGTCTACACCCAGCACACGCCTCATTTATCAGAGACACTCGAAAACTTGTTCAAAGGGAGGTTACGGGAAACAAGTTACCCTTTTTTGGAGGGTGCGGGTCCAAATGCTGGATTTCAAAGGTCATTTTTTTCTAATTTCAACGGCCTGTTCTTGCTCATTTCATCGGCAGGCC